ATCCAACAGGATTCTGGCCTAGGGAAGGAAGCCGGGCTCTGGGCTGCACTCGTGGCGTTGGGCCGGGTCCCGGGCTCTCTCGTTTTCCCCTGCCCGCTGTATGTGTGAGCCAAGGCCTGGGGCTGCTGCCTCCTTCCCCGGTGTGGCAGCCTGTGCCCGCAGCGTTCCGAAGGCCCGTGCTGTTGGCGCGGGGTTGCTGGCAGGCTTTGCTGCAGTGCTGCCTCTGCGGTCAGTGCAGGGTCGTGGTTTGGAGTGACAGGGGTCTGCCTTTTCTTCGCAGATTGCACAAAGACACACACACAGCCTGTTTGAGTAAGACCAGGATGGAGGAGTCCGGTGGGGATCTTCCCATCCAGAGAGTTGCCATCCTGCCCGAGTTGTCCTGTGATCACTTCACCGTAACAAACGTGTGAGTCTGTCTGGTGTGCTGTAAGAGCCAGTCTGTTCGGCTGCTAACACTGTTAAGGCTAAAATGCTTCCTTATGAGCAGTTTTATTGTTTCTGTGTAACTGCCCTCAGATAAGAGATACCGTGAGCCTGTGATGAACACTTCTATTGCCACCTGCAATATCTATTTTAGCCAATTTTGTGCTTCAGTATCTCTTGCATACTAATCATTACTTTTCATGTGTTACAAAACTAAGCAAAGGAACTAATCAGATTATTGGATCCTATTTAGGAGTTACACTGATGGCAGTGTTTTCAAAAGCTGTCATCAGATCCCTTTCATCATGGAACACAGCACTTGGTCTGTTGAATTCTTCAAAAGTGTCTATGTTTAATGCCTCATGAAGATCTGACCCTAACTGTGAATACAGCCTTTCTTTGAAAACATAACTCTTGTGGTATCCACGGTGTTAGTACTTAAAAGCACTTAATACTTGCAATGCGTCACTATTATTTTTATATTTTCCTAGGGGCATTTAATACTGTTCATTTTGTAGTAGTTTACTGCACATAAGAATTACAATTTTTAGTATTTAAAACCCCTCTTCTGTTCTGCAGAATAAGGTTAGCAATGTGAATGTGAAGGCTGAGTAAATATAGTGGTGCTGCCTTATTAGGCTGTGTGGTGGTGTTTTGCCAAAAATCCAGGAATATCTGTAGACTTCTATACCAGCGTGAGTTTGTGTCAGATTTAGAACTGAGTTCTGCAGCTTTCGATGATTCAGGGGGAAGGAATTATTTTTAAAACTCATTTTAAAACTACATTTCCAGTATCTTGATGGAAATGTTTGTTTTCTAGGGTGGAAGTGCTGAGATCTTTGGTGGCTTTAACTGACCCTTCAGGAGGGGAAGCTGACTCAGCCTCGAGAGAAAGTGAGTGACTAACAGACTTTCCATGTCTGTTTACTGTATCGTTTCAGAAGAACCTACAGTTAGGAGCTGAGCTTATTCTAATAATGTATTAGATCTGTTTCTGTAATTCTTGTTTTTGTGAGTTGAGCTGAAGTGTGTTTGCCAACACTGATTGCCTGGCCAGTGGTAGTGTGATCATCAGTGCCTCTGTTCTGCAAGGTTCCCTTCAAACAGGTGGCAGAATGAATCGGGTATTCCAACCACTACTCAAGTCAGGCTTTAAATCACATGTCTTTTTACTGACTGAAGGGCTAGCTTTTGTAAACCCTTGGCTGCACCTTCCCCTTGTTTCCATGCCCAAGCATGGCATGTGTGATTAATCTTCTTAATCTAGTGGGATTGATTTCTGCAGCTGGTTTATCTTCTGATTCCAGGAATCTAACAATGACATGAGAGTTTAGACCTAAGGAAGGTGTGGAGCTTGTACTTCACATCACTTTAAAGCAATCCTGAAACTGTAGCCCTGATATTATTGTGGCTTCTCTGCCACTGACTTTGACAAGTGATAGTGTCCTTCATAACAGGCAGAACATGATGATTATTGGGACAGGAGGTGCAGTGGCTAATGCAATAAAGGATCATATGGCCAAAAAGTGTGAGAGATTAGGATGTGTTTTCTGGATTTATACAGTATGATTAATGCAAGGTATAATTTGGAGAGGTCATTCCTGACTCTTGAAGATGTTATGGGGTATTCACATTTGCTCAGGAACATTATGCTCATCTCTTAGTAATTGGACCGGCTGTAAACTTTAATGAAATTTGATGGGCAATGCTATTTTTAATTACTTCATATTCTTGTATTGAGTCTTGTGTAACTCTTAACATGCATTCATTCCTTAAATAATGTTTTTATTTGAAGGAAATTGCTTAGGAATCCCTGAAGTGCAGCTGCCTGTTATGTTTCAGTAGTAATTATTCTGCACAGCACAGATTGATAGTCTCATACTTGGTTCTCATTTCACAGTTGAATTTTTGTGCTCCTTTGTATTCTAGGCACTAAACTCGCTGGGCATTTGGAAACCCATATTTGCAGCTGTTCCTGGGCCTACATCAAAGACCTCAGTGGAGTGGCAGCTTGAAGATGGGAGATCAGGATGCAGGTGAACCCTTTCTGGGGATAGTGGCTGGCGGGGCCAAAGACCACGAAGGAGCTCTTCCCTCAGACACAGTGTCGCTCAGCGATTCTGATTCTGATGATATGGGGTTAGCAGATGAAGCAGAAGTTGATACAATATCTCCTGAGGAGCCGTCTGTAGATGATGGGGATTACAGGTCAGTGGAGACCCCTGACTCTTCAAACAGCAGTCACAGATCTCCTGTCCAGCCATTCCATCTGAGGGGCATGAGTTCTACGTTCTCTCTCCGTAGCCAGAGCATTTTTGATTGCCTGGAGGAGGCAGCCAAGTTGTCTGTGCCCTCAATGCCTGAAGATAATGTTGTTGATGGGAGATTTAAGCGTCCATTGCCTCCACCCACAGTTTCAGGTAGCGTAATTCCAGAGAGGCTGGGAAAGCAAGCCAAAGCAGTGCAGGCTCCCAAAACCTCTCCTGCAGTGCCTGACTATGTGGCACACCCAGAGCGCTGGACCAAATACAGCCTAGATGGAGTTTCAGAGTCTAGTGACAAGACTAACAGGGCAGTGGCCATGGAATTTCTAGAGGGTCTGAAGAAAAGAGGGAAGGAACAAAGCTCAGCTACCCAAGATAGCTACACCCCATACTTCAACCAGGACCCTTCCAGCTGTGGAGCTGGAAGGATTGTCTTCACCAAACCAGCAAAAAGGGGTGTGGATGGACTGGAAAAGAAAACATCAGCAGGGGAGGATGATAAGAAACACATGAAAACAGATCTGAAAGGAAAATCTCTTAGGAAAACTGATGATTTTGGGGAGGAAGATAAGGTAGAGCTGGGGCACCTAGATAGTGGAAGTAGTAAGGCAACAGAGGAGGAGTGCATGATGGCAGGGGACCTGAATGCAGAAGGTAAGCTTAGTGCAAAGTTTAGTGGCACAGGTGAAGAGCCATTGGTGGAAACAGTTGGATTCCACTGCAGTAAGAAAAAGAATAGGAAAAATTTCCGACCTAAAGCAGACGATGAAGGGGAGGAGGAAGATTCCTGAGGAATGGAGCTCACTGTAAACATCCAAGGACTTGTATTGTCTTCGGATATGTTTGGGGTTTTTTTCTCTTGACTTTTTTTTTTCCCCCTGGTCTGGAAACGACATGATAGCTTTTTGTGTAACAGTTTGCATTGTGGCCACCAAGAACATTTTGTGCTGTTAGAAATTAAGCTCCCTAAAAAACGCTACACTTCATGTTCGTGAGAAATCTGTGGGCACAGGATAGTTGCAGCCTAGCAGGAGAGAATACAGTGTTCTTTGTTTGCTTGAGCAGCTTCCTGGGGCTTGTGCTGGAGCTGAAGTAGCCAAAGAAAAAGATGTGTTAACTAAAAGGCTGAAAGGCTTCTTACTAACCCCTGCATTCAGAGCAGTTCCCAAATCCTGGAACAATGATGATGAGTTCGTGATGTAGAGATTTTTGAACAATGAAAATAAAAACCTAGTCTTCCATTCAATGTGCTTTATTGTGGCCCTATCCCAGGGAGGAAAACCTTTAAAACTTTTTAACCTTTGTTTCTGTTGTTTCATTCCCCCTCACCCCCAATACATCCTTCTCTCCTTGCCATTGAGAGTGAAAGCACAACAGTGTCCAATCATGAGTTTGGAGGGACTGGTGGGAACTGGTAAAACCAGGGGGTTTTTTTGTTGGTTTGTTTGTTTGGTTTTTGTCTGTTTGGGTTTTTTTGTTTGTTTTTTGTTTAATATTTATCTTACTTATTGTTACATGATAAAGATTTAAAAACCCACAGTGTTTCCTTTGGAGAGGTACAACTGGATGCATCCTGGTGAAGACATGCTTAGGGCGGCTTCAGCAAGGTCTCCCTGTCTTGAGTGTAGATCAGAATTTGCAGCAGCTTCAGTTGTTAAGCTGGGCAGCAGCTTTTCCTCTTACTGGTATGATGTGATATGATGATTCTTAGCCTGCACATTTGTATCTCCTTTCCAGATGGGACTGCTTCCACACAGATTCTGTGTGTCGATTTGGTGGGAATAAGGTATTTATGCCAGAACCAGCTACTTTTTTGTTCTTTGGGATTCGGTAAATTTTCAGTGGTAACTGGATTTCATCATCTCTTTGAGCCACGCTGATTAACACAGCTATAGGAGTTTTAACAAATACTCAGTTTATTTGATTTGAGGATTCTCTTGAAAATCTTCTAGAATGTTACAGTAATGTACCATCTTGTAACTTCTCCCTCAAGTCTTATTTTAGATTCCAAAATTGACATTTTTAATATTTTCAATTATTTGACGATATATAGTGAATCATCTCATAGGATGAGTCACCTTATACAGTGAGTCACATTGTAATGAATGTCAAATATAGTAGGTTTTCACACAGAATCGTAATAAATTTTATAAATAAGGTCGAAAGATTAAATTCCCTGAAAGGTTATATGATTTGAAACTCAAATTAGTTCAGGTCAGTTTGGACTGACGTTTTTTTGACGATATTCTAAATTAACCAGCCCCAAAGCTGTGTAGTGAAAGAATACTTTAGAATGTGTTATCTTCCTTGTTAAACTGCTTGCTCAAACTCTGAAGAATCTTTGAGGAAGGTACTTCTTGGGCGGGGGGGAGGATGTCAGCATTTTACCAATATTTGACTGGTAGGCCCAAATCATTTGGGTCTTTGTGTTTGAACAGATGCATCATTTGGCAGCACAAGCAGAAAACAATGCAAAATAAGTAATATTGTTCCATCTTTTGAAATTTGCCTTTTAATTTTAAAAGCAGAATGTATTTTCTCATGAGTATACAGTTTGATGCTCATTAATTAATGGATCATTGGTGAGTACATCAGTTGTTCCAGTGCATGTGCATGGGACATAGCAGCAGTTCCAAATGGATAAGTTTTGGTTTCAGGTGGATAATTAATGTGCTGATCACAATTCAAATAGTAGCTGTTTCAAAATGGAAGCTGCTGCCAAGAGCAGGGCTTGCTAATTGTAAGGTAGGGGTTATTTCCTAACAAAAATTGTAGCTCAGTGCAAACTTACTGGTTTTATGACTAATGGTTGCCTGCGTTGAAGAACAGGTAGGACAATACCAAGATTTTGTCACTGTTAATGGGGTCACTGACGTCTGGGGCACAGCTGAATAAACCAGACAAATGCCTGTTTTATGAAGACATCCTAACAAGATTAATATCTATTAATAAAAGACTTGTGTTGGAAAGGTATTTTTATCAGATCTGAGATTTTCTCGCCCTGCTTCTGGTATCAGAGAAAGCTTTTGCACAACCTGTGTTCATGTTGCATAGAAGCAGTGTAGTGTGACGAAATAAAGTTCAGTTGAAGCTTAGCAGTGTAAGAAAGATCAAAACCCAATGCTTCCTGTTTTTCATGCTGTCAGTATTCCAAGGAAATTTCCCCTTAATGGGCAGTAGTGACACTCATTTTATTGGTGTATCTTTTCATACAAAATTCTCTTAAAGTCAGCTAGCTGCTTTTTTTTTTTATTCTAAAGTTGCACATGCCAGCTTAAATAATAAAAAAATGACACAGCCCAAATTCCTAGTCTGTAAGAAAATTCTTGCTACACATTGTTGCTTTAAAGTCTAAGTGATGTTCCCCCCCACCCTCTCCCACCCCGACCTTTGAGAGAGAAAAGTAAAGTGAAATCAGAAAATGGCTTAGCTGCAGATGCAGCATTCCATGTGCCGTGACGCATCAAGGGAATGTCTCCTTTAGGAGCAGCGAGCTGATAGCGGCTATGACCTGGCATTGGAACAAAACAGCGAGCAGCAGAGGCTGGGGTCAGCCTGCGGGAGGGTCACCTGCTTAGTGTTTGGGAATTGACTGCAAGCCACTGCAGGCTTGAGGACTGTGTGATGAGATTCCAGTTTCTGGAGGTGAGGCAGGAGCCCTCAATAAGGAATACTAGCAAAGGAGTATCTCGCAGAAGCCAGCGTGGGAAGAGAAGGCGGTGAGTGCAGTCATTCAAGGGTTGTAAGAACTCCAGGAGCCGTATGAATTGTAATGGTTCAATGTCCCAGGCCCTTTCCTGTGGAAAATATTACCTGATTGCCTTTCTAAGCAACTCAAATACAAGCTTGCTTTATTGGCCAAGGAAGTGGCTTGGTTTTTTAGTGTGTAAATGATCACCCTTTCGAAGGGAGGTTCCCTTGAACAGAGAAACGTGGAAATGAGCAATGCTGATGATGGATTGAGGGTGTGGTGTTCGGAGAACAGAAGGCTGATCATATTTAGAAAACAAGATGGTAGAGTCATGCTGGAGAGAAAGTTTTTTTTATGTGATCTATGGAATGGAGTTTTGGAGAAAGGACTGAGAAATATAGGAGCAGGAGGGAAGAAAGCTCAAGAAACTGAAGGAGGAAGACCAAGAAATCCTCTGACAGTGGACTGGTGTAAAGGCTATGAGAGTTGGGCTTTAGGCCTTCATGAGATTAGGATTTTACTACTAAACACAGTGGGACAAAAGGCTTAATCTGAAGAAATGAGAATAAAATCTAATTATCAATGTATGTGATGTCAGCCTTGGACTCGTCTGCACACTCTTCTCTTGCACTTCTTTCTGGCAAAGACACTTCTGTGTTGGCACTCATCGCACCTAATGGGATTGTAAAAGTCGTGCTTTTTTAAAAGCCTTAGGAAAGGGGCACATAATAGTAATTACTTAAGAATCTTCAAAATGTTGAAAATAATCCACAATAAAAAGATGCTGTAGGTTCTATTACTTTGCATTTGCTCAGTAAATGATAAACAAAGGTTTCTTCTTCATTTTTCAGCTATTGAAGTTTCTCATTTTTATGCAGTTATGGTATTAACATGTCTGTGGAACATGCTATAGGATGTTTTTTTCTTAGTGGAATATTGATAGTGAAGCAATTTACGTATGTGTTTTATAAGCATTTAAGAAAAGTCAAGTTTGAGGTTTAGTTTAAGTCTGAGTGATGTGAGGTCTTGTCATGTTACAACAGAGTTTCCAGCTACTTCTTTTTCTCATGTAGTATGTACATGTTCAGTTTATGGGTTTTGGAGGGCTTTTTGTGTAATAGTAATAGGCAGATACTGAACTAGATCGCTAAGAAGAATATCCAAAGTCTTTTTGTGTTGGATATCCTGTGGTGGTGAGAAATAGTCTGTCTCTAGTATTTTAAACTCCAAACAGTGGAGCCCTGGGTCACAGGATATGATTCTTAACTGACAGGAACAGTTGCAGCTCTGAAGGCAAATGAGCTGTGTTGATTACAACAAAGTAGGTTTCCTTGATTTTCTTTTTAATGATTATCATTATCTGTATATTAAAAGTTTTGGTAATACTTCATTAACTCAAAAAAACCCCAAGACAATCCTCTCAGAAATCCTGTGGCAAACAGATACTTATTAACATGCTTAAAGTTGGGTGAGATTATTCTAACTCACACTAAGCACTTGGCCAAAAGCTTTTAAATATATTTTGCAAAAGTTTAGGGTTTTTTTTTTCATTCTGAATTATGAATATTCTGTTCCTTGTTTGGTCTTTTATCAACAAAACCAAATGAAGTAGAGCTGGGAAACAGCCTAACCTGTTGTTTGTGTCCACCCAGATTGCTTAAGCAAGTCTCAGCTGCTTCCTCAGTTCAGAAAGGCTTTAAAACCAGCTTTAGTTCTAGACTAGATTTAGTCTAACTTTCGCTTACATAGGAATTTTGAAAACCTTTGCCACATGTTACTTTGAAGTTCTCTTATCTGTATATAAAGACAGAGGCCCTTCCATTTTTTAACTAAATTGGTCAGTGTTCGTTAGTTTCTCCATGATTGTTTTCAGTACTTACACGTATAGTTTGGAACTGGTTGGTTGCACAAAAGGTTGATTTTGGTTAAAGCCTCCACCATTGAAGAGATAACAGCTGTACAGTGGCAAATCTACGAAATAAATAGTGGTTTCTACATCAGCTTATTTTTGTAGTACTCTATCCATTCCTAAATTTGTAAGAATGATAACCCGGGCAGCACAGTGAAGCAGTATCAGAGATACCATATTTTATATA